GGAGCTGGATGGCCACCACCGGGGAGCTGGATGGCCACCACCGGGGAGCTGGATGGCCACCACCGGGGAGCTGGATGGCCACCACCAGGGGAGCTGGATGGCCACCACCGGGGAGCTGGATGGCAACGGGAGCGGATGGCCACCACGGGGAGCTGGAAGAAGAAAATATACAAACGATCCGGGGAGAATCTAGAGTTTTCCCTTAAGTAACTTTATTCTTTTTCTCCCAGCTTGTGTGTATATATATATATATTATATATAATATATATATAATATATATTATATATATATATATATATATATATATATTTATATATATAAACATTTATGCATATATACATACAAACAGGTGTGTGTGTGGGACGGGTAAAAGCTGCGAAAATAAAACTGATCATCGGACACATTTAATTAACCTAATGAGAGATATTCCTTTGTTGTGACCTACTGCTAGGGGAGTGATATCCCCTCCCAGCGCCACCTAGGCAGTGAGAGAACACTTCTGGGGGTGATATCCCCTCCCAGCGCCACCTAGGCAGTGAGAGAACACTTCTGGGGGTGATATCCTCTTCCCAGCGCCACCTAGGCAGTGAGAGAACACTGCTAGGGGGGATGATATTCCCCTCCCAGTGCCACCTAGGCAGTGAGAGAACACTGCTGGGGGTGATATTCCCCTCCCAGTGCCACCTAGGCAGTGAGAGAACACTACTGGGGGGTGATATTCCCCTCCCAGTGCCACCTAGGCAGTGAGAGAATACTGCTGGGGAGGGTGATATCCCCTCCCAGCGCCACCTAGGCAGTGAAAGAACACTTCTGGGGGTGATATCCCTCTCCAGGAACAACCTAGGCAGTGAGAGAACACTTCTGGGGGTGATATCCCCCTCCCAGGGCCACTTAGACAGTGAGAGAACACTTCTGTAGGTAATATCCCCCTCCCAGGGCCACCTAGGCAGTGAAAGAACACTTCTGGGGGTGATATCCCTCTCCAGGAACAACCTAGGCAGTGAGAGAACACTGCTGGGGGTGATATTCCCCTCCCAGTGCCACCTAGGCAGTGAGAGAACACTAATGTTACCTGGAGTTTACCTGGAGAGAGTTCCGGGGGTCAACGCCCCCGCGGCCCGGTCCGTGACCAGGCCTCCTGGTGGATCAGAGCCTGATCAACCAGGCTGTTGCTGTTGGCTGCACGCAAACCAACGTAGGAGCCACAGCCCGGCTGGTCAGGAACCGACTTTAGGTGCTTGTCCAGTGCCAGCTTGAAGACTGCCAGGGGTCTGTTGGTAATCCCCCTTATAAATCATCAATGTTGAGCTACAATGTCAGCGTCTTGCACTACCAGGTAACGATCCTCATTCTTGATAAATTTGGTATATAGAGTTGGTGGGGTAAACCAGAGGAGGATCATTCTGTTACTTGTCATTATTTGATTAAGACGAGTTTCGGGAGACACTTGTCCTGTTTCCTGACGAACAAACCACAACAAACAACTTTGGAGCAGAGTTCTTCTCCAGGCTGAGGGACTGACCCCCTTAAAACTACGTCTTCGATGATGTTGCCACCTCCCTTGTTAAGAACGATAATAAATTTGCTGAATTAGGCATAAGAATTAACAACTGGGCGTCTACACTGCAAACTGAATTGTTTACAATCCTAATGGTGCTAAAGCTAACTTATGACACTGAGTTTGACTCTATCATCATTACTGATTCTATGTCATCATTGAAGGCTCTTGACTCATATAATGACTCCAACAACATGCTCATTGGAGAAGCCAGGTATAGATACTCAAAAATCAGGGACAAAGGAATTAATGCAAAGTTGCTATGGATCCCATCACACATTGGATTACTCCTTCATGATAAAGTTGATATGTTAGCCAAGAAGAGTACCCAGAAGGAGATGTAGAATATAACTTTGGTATATCTGTTTCTAGCATTAGGAATAATATTAGGAGAGAAGTAAATAATGAAAATGATTGTTATAGGAATGTAGTTAGAAGCCTGAGTAGATCTATAACCCACTATGATAACATGATGATGACTGATGTTGTAGTGGCCAGGCTTAGGCTTGGTTACAAGTACTGACTGATGTTGTAGTGGTCAGGCTTAGGCTTGGTTACAAGTACTGACTGATGTTGTAGTGGCCAGGCTTAGGCTTGGTTACAAGTACCGACTGATGTTGTAGTGGCCAGGCTTAGGCTTAGTTACAAGTACTGACTGATGTTGTAGTGCCAAGGCTTAGGCTTGGTTACAAGTACTGACTGATGTTGTAGTGGCTAGACTTAGGCTTGGTTACAAGTACTGACTGATGTTGTAGTGGCCAGGCTTAGGCTTAGTTAAATGTACTGACTGATGTTGTAGTGGCTAGACTTAGGCTTGGTTACAAGTACTGACGCCGAGGAAGGTGATCATATTGGTCACCTGGTACACAGCAGATCAAGAAACAAGGAAAGTGACTCATTTTCAGAGGCTGGGGAGTTTCTGCCACGACTTGTAACAATGCCGAATGAAACTAACATTCTGGTCACATAACTGCAAACAAGACCCTAAGACAGAGGTCAGGGCCGAACACCACACGGACTGGGACATAACGACAGAGGTCAGGGCTGAACACCACACGGACTGGGACATAACGACAGAGGTCAGGGCTGAACACCACACGGACTGGGACATAACGACAGAGGTCAGGGCTGAACACCACACCGACTGTGACATAACGGTAATGTAGAGAGAACAGTTGAGGGAGAGCGCGACAAACCGCCATGCAGAGATAAGTGCAGCAGATGAGGACCCAGGAAGGAGCACCCAGCCTCCAGGAACTACTTAAGACGCACTCTAGCCCCTTTATGGTAGACCCAACTCTAGAAACTACTTAAGATGCTCCCAAACCCCTTTCCTAGTAGACCCAATTCTAGATCCGCCCCCCACATCCTCAGCAACAGCCTTCCTCCAGGGTTCACTTTCTCTTCTCTCTCTACAATTTTATCAATGACCTCATCTTCTGAAGTGATGCACATACCTACCTTACCTCCAACATTCCTCTCACATCATCAACATACCCGCCAACATACCCGGGATAATACACATACCTACCTTACCAGCAACACTCCTCTCAGATGATCAACATGCCCGCCAACATACCCGGGATAATACACATACCTACCTTACCAGCAACACTCCTCTCACATGATCAACATACCCGCCAACATACCCGGGATAATACACATACCTACCTTACCTCCAACACTCCTCTCACATGATCAACATACCCGCCAACATACCCGGGATAATACACATACCTACCTTACCAGCAACACTCCTCTCAGATGATCAACATACCCCCAACATACCCGGGATAATACACATACCTACCTTACCTCCAACACTCCTCTCAGATGATCAACATACCCGCCAACATACCCGGGATAATACACATACCTACCTTACCAGCAACACTCCTCTCAGATGATCAACATACCCGCCAACATACCCGGGATAATACACATACCTACCTTACCAGCAACACTCCTCTCAGATGATCAACATGCCCGCCAACATACCCGGGATAATACACATACCTACCTTACCTCCAACACTCCTCTCAGATGATCAACATACCCGCCAACATATTCGAGATAATACACATACCTACCTTATCAGCAACACTCCTCTCAGATGATCAACATACCCGCCAACATACCCGGGATAATACACATACCTACCTTACCTCCAACACTCCTCTCAGATGATCAACATACCCGCCAACATACCCGGGATAATACACATACCTACCTTACCTCCAACACTCCTCTCACATGATCAACATGCCCGCCAACATACCGGGATCATACACATACCTACCTTACCTCCAACACTCCTCTCACATGATCAACATGCCCGCCAACATACCCGGGATCATACACATACCTACCTTACCTCCAACACTCCTCTCACATGATCAACATGCCCGCCAACATACCCGGGATCATACACATACCTACCTTACCTCCAACACTCCTCTCACATGATCAACATGCCCGCCAACATACCCGGGATCATACACATACCTACCTTACCTCCAACACTCCTCTCAGATGATCAACATACCCGCCAACATACCCGGGATCATACACATACCTACCTTACCTCCAACACTCCTCTCAGATGATCAACATACCCGCCAACATACCCGGGATTAATACACATACCTACCTTACCTCCAACACTCCTCTCACATGAACAACATGCCCGCCAACATACCCGGGATCATTACACATACTACCTTACTCCAACACTCCTCTCAGATGATCAACATGCCCGCCAACATACCGGGTCATACACATACCTACCTTACCTCCAACACTCCTCTCACATGATCAACATACCCGCCAACATACCCGGGATCATACACATACCTACCTTACCTCCAACACTCCTCTCACATGATCAACATACCCGCCAACATACCCGGGATCATACACATACCTACCTTACCTCCAACACTCCTCTCACATGATCAACATACCCGCCAACATACCCGGGATCATACACACATCCTGATTGTCGGAGTTCATAGGTTCGAACCCTGGCCATGTTTCCTTACACCTGCTGTTCCTCTTCACCTAGCAGTAAGTAGGTACCTGGGTGTTAGTCATCATACCATCCAGGGGTGGTAGTATACCTGGAGTATACCTGGAGAGGAGATAGTATACATCAGATAAGGCTGGGTTTCGAAATGAACTCGGGTAAGATAACAGCTCATAGCTTGTATAATTATTCTGGGAAGAAAAGAATCACTAACCAGTGAATGGTAAGGTCAGTGTGGAGTACACTAAGGTCAGTGTAGAGTACACTAAGGTCAGTGTAGAGTACACTAAGGTCAGTGTGGAGTACACTAAGGTCAGTGTAGAGTACACTAAGGTCAGTGTAGAGTACACTAAGGTCAGTGTAGAGTACACTAAGGTCAGTGTAGAGTACACTAAGTCATGTGTGGAGTACACTAAGGTCAGTGTGGAGTACACTAAGGTCAGTGTGGAGTACACTAAGGTCAGTGTGGAGTACACTAAGGTCAGTGTGGAGTACACTAAGGTCAGTGTGGAGTACACTAAGGTCAGTGTGGAGTACACTAAGGTCAGTGTGGAGTACACTAAGGTCAGTGTGGAGTATACTAAGGTCAGTGTGGAGTACACTAAGGTCAGTGTGGAGTACACTAAGGTCAGTGTGGAGTACACTAAGGTCAGTGTGGAGTATACTAAGGTCAGTGTAGAGTACACTAAGGTCAGAGTGGAGTACACTAAGGCCAGTGTAGAGTACACTAAGGTCAGTGTGGAGTACACTAAGGTCAGTGTGGAGTACACTAAGGTCAGTGTAGAGTACACTAAGGTCAGTGTGGAGTATACTAAGGTCAGTGTAGAGTACACTAAGGTCAGAGTGGAGTACACTAAGGTCAGTGTGGAGTACACTAAGGTCTGTGTAGAGTACACTAAGGTCAGTATGCAGTACACTAAGGTCAGTGTAGAGTACACTAAGGTCAGTGTGGAGTACACTAAGGTCAGTGTGGAGTACACTAAGGTCAGTGTAGAGTACACTAAGGTCAGAGTGGAGTACACTAAGGTCAGTGTGGAGTACACTAAGGTCAGTGTGGAGTACACTAAGGTCAGTGTGGAGTATACTAAGGTCAGTGTGGAGTACACTAAGGTCAGTGTGGAGTACACTAAGGTCAGTGTGGAGTACACTAAGGTCAGTGTGGAGTATACTAAGGTCAGTGTAGAGTACACTAAGGTCAGAGTGGAGTACACTAAGGTCAGTGTAGAGTACACTAAGGTCAGTGTGGAGTACACTAAGGTCAGTGTAGAGTACACTAAGGTCAGTGTGGAATACACTAAGGTCAGTGTAGAGTACACTAAGGTCAGTGTGGAGTACACTAAGGTCAGTGTGGAGTACACTAAGGTCAGTGTGGAGTACACTAAGGTCAGTGTGGAGTACACTAAGGTCAGAGTGGAGTACACTAAGGTCAGTGTAGAGTACACTAAGGTCAGTGTAGAGTACACTAAAGTCAGAGTGGAGTACACTAAGGTCAGTGTGGAGTACACTAAGGTCAGTGTGGAGTATACTAAGGTCAGTGTGGAGTACACTAAGGTCAGAGTGGAGTACACTAAGGTCAGTGTGGAGTACACTAAGGTCAGAGTGGAGTACACTAAGGACAGTGTGGAGTACACTAAGGTCAGAGTGGAGTACACTAAGGTCAGTGTGGAGTACACTAAGGATAGTGTGGAGTACACTAAGGTCAGGCTGGAATACACTAAGGTCAGTGTGGAGTACACTAAGGTCAGAGTATCATGTGGGGGTTCGAACACATGGATAGGGTAAAGTAATACTCACCTAGGCTGGAAGTACGTATAATTACGGATAATGTGTGAAGCGCCCTAACAGCCGTGAACCTGCCTCCTTGCTCACTCTCGTATAACTGACCGCCCACAGTACCCATATGTGGGGGTCTTTGATATACTGCTGAGGTCAGCGCAATATGAATGCAGACAGTGACTCAGGCAGAGACGGTTGGTAGTGAGTCATCTACTGGTACACTGGTTACTGGTAACTGGTTACTGGTAACTGGTTACTGGTAACTGGTTACTACTACTGAGAGCCCGGGGAGACCTCATCCACTTCACTGGATCAATCTGTTCCACCAGTTGAGGAGAAAGACTAAGTTCCCACTGACTTCCCAGGTGAAGTCAAACGTTTGTTGACTCTGTTGAACAAACGTCGTAAAGCCATTGCCTTACCAGGTGAGAAGATGGGTATAACGAACTTATTGTCCCATCGTATTCCACTTGAACCTGGTACTAGACCTATCTACATACCTGCGTACAGAATGCCTCATTCACAAGTTGCTGTCGCAGAAGAATTGATCAATCAAATGCTCGATGATGGAGTTATTGCACCTAGCAATTCACCTTGGAATGCACCCTTGATCCTAGTACCTAAGAAGGATGGTAATATAAACACAAATGCAGTATAATGTGATCCTTTATTGACTACGTTTCGCCCACACAGTGGGCTTTTTCAAGTCACAAACAGAACTACCTGGGGTGGAAGGAACGCGAGTATTTATAGTCTAGCTGAGGTCAGGTGAAGAATGCTGCATCTGATGATGTACCGAGTGGGGTTATAGAGTCTAAAAACTTGGGTAGCTTGGAAAGGAGATTGGATAAGTTGTGAGCAGACCTTCTACAGTGTTCTTATGTGGGATAGCGATGAAGAAGTTTCTTGGCAAGTGGTTCAGCTATGTTATAGAAGCCACTATTCTGGTTGAAGTTGTCGGATATAGAAATGAGTGATGATTCCAGGATTCTTCGGTATTGAGTGTTGTCTTCTGTGGCGATAAGTCTTGAGTTTCTGTAGTTTATCAAGTGGTTGTGTGAATTACGGTGTTGTACGCAGGCATTCCTTGTGTCGTCAGACCTGCTTGCGTATTGGTGTTCTGAAATACGTGTTTGGAGGTCCCTTGATGTTTCGCCCACGTATAACTTGTTGCAGTCATTACAAGGGATTATGTATACCCCTGCCGAGGATGGAGGCTTGTCCTGCCTACTACTGGTGATGTCCTTGATGGTCGTGGTTGTGGAGGTAGATACTTGGAATGATGTTTTGGCAAAGATGTTGGAAACATGTTTGGCAATGGAGTTGGTGGGAAGGACTATGTATCTCTTCTCGGCAGTGTCTTCTCTGGGTGTGTTGAAGATGTTTAATGCTCGCCGTCTGCAGTCTCTGATGAAGTGACGAGGATAGTGGAGTTTAGAAAATATTTGTTCAATTATAGTGCATTCTTCCTCAAGGAACTCGTTGCTGCATATTCTGAGTGCACGCAGGAAGAAGCCTATAATTACACCACGTTTGGTTTTGGTGTCGTGGTGTAATTATAGGCTTCTTCCTGCGTGCACTCAGAATATGCAGCAACGAGTTCCTTGAGGAAGAATGCACTATAATTGAACAAATATTTTCTAAACTCCACTATCCTCGTCACTTCATCAGAGACTGCAGACGGCGAGCATTAAACATCTTCAACACACCCAGAGAAGACACTGCCGAGAAGAGATACATAGTCCTTCCCACCAACTCCATTGCCAAACATGTTTCCAACATCTTTGCCAAAACATCATTCCAAGTATCTACCTCCACAACCACGACCATCAAGGACATCACCAGTAGTAGGCAGGACAAGCCTCCATCCTCGGCAGGGGTATACATAATCCCTTGTAATGACTGCAACAAGTTATACGTGGCGAAACATCAAGGGACCTCCAAACACGTATTTCAGAACACCAATACGCAAGCAGGTCTGACGACACAAGGAATGCCTGCGTACAACACCGTAATTCCACACAACCACTTGATAAACTACAGAAACTCAAGACTTATCGCCACAGAAGACAACACTCAATACCGAAGAATCCTGGAATCATCACTCATTTCTATATCCGACAACTTCAACCAGAATAGTGGCTTCTATAACATAGCTGAACCACTTGCCAAGAAACTTCTTCATCGCTATCCCACATAAGAACACTGTAGAAGGTCTGCTCACAACTTATCCAATCTCCTTTCCAAGCTACCCAAGTTTTTAGACTCTATAACCCCACTCGGTACATCATCAGATGCAGCATTCTTCACCTGACCTCAGCTAGACTATAAATACTCGCGTTCCTTCCACCCCAGGTAGTTCTGTTTGTGACTTGAAAAAGCCCACTGTGTGGGCGAAACGTAGTCAATAAAGGATCACATTATACTGCATTTGTGTTTATATTGCCATTGTGTCGGTATTTTATACCATTTATTTCCAAGAAGGATGGTACTTGGCGACCAATGATTGACTTTAGGAAGTTAAACGCGAAAACCATTCCAGATCACTTCCCACTTCCTGTACTGGGTGATCTTTTACGTAACTTCGGAGATAACAAAGTCTTTTCAACCCTGGATTTGTTACAAGGGTTTTGGCAAGTCCCTCTTCATGAGGACAGCCAAGAGCTAACTGCATTCTCCACTCCTACAGGTCATTATCACTTCCTCCATATGGCGTTTGGATTACGATCCTCCCCTATCACGTTCTCAAGGCTCATGACTAATATCTTTAGAGGTCTCATAGGTAATGCACTTATGGTGTACTTAGATGACGTAATCGTCATGTCTAAAGACGTGGATACATACTTGCAAAGACTTGATGTAGTACTTGGTAAGCTTGAAGAAGCCAATTTAAAGATCAAACTGTCTAAATGTCAATTTTTCAGATCAGAAATTAAGTTTCTTGGTCACGTAGTCACTCCTAGAGGGGTTACGACTGACCAAAGTAAAGTAACTGCAGTACTAAATTTTCCAACACCCAAAACTGCTGATGCCGTAAGATCCTTTGTGGGCTTAGCAGGTTTTTATAGATCTTTCATTGTCAATTTTTCTTCCATAGCTGCTCCTCTAACTGAGTTGCTTAAGAAAGATGCTCCTTTTGTTTGGACCTTCCGTCAAGAAAGAGCATTCCAAACTCTAAAAGAAAAGCTAACATCTGCTCCAATTTTGAAATTTCCAGATTTTTCTAAGCCCTTCTATCTGACAACTGATGCTAGTTCAATTGGCATAGGTGCCGTACTAGCTCAGAAGACTGATGGCAAGTACAACGCAGTTGCATTTGCTAGCCGAGTCCTTACGAAGGCTGAACGTAATTATACAGTAACTGAGCAAGAAGCTTTAGCAATAGTATGGTCTTTAAAGCACTTCCGAGACATTATTTATCAGTACTCTGTTCATGTCTTGACAGACCACGCTCCACTGATACCTTTATTCCAGAACAAACAACCTACTAGAAGGTTAGCCAGATGGACCTTGACTATTCAAGAGTTCAATCCCACCGAGAGTGGAGTACACTAAGGTCAGTGTGGAGTACACTAAGGTCAGTGTGGAGTACACTAAGGTCAGAGTGGAGTACACTAAGGTCAGTGTGGAGTACACTAAGATCAGTGTGGAGTACACTAAGGTCAGTGTGGAGTACACTAAGGTCAGTGTGGAGTACACTAAGTTCGGTGTAGAGTACACTAAGGTCAGTGTAGAGTACACTAAGATCAGTATGGAGTACACTAAGGTCAGTGTAGAGTACACTAAGGTCAGTGTGGAGTCCACTAAGGTCAGAGCAGAGTACAGTAAGGTCAGTGTGGAGTACACAAAACTCAGTGTGGAGTACACTACGGTCAGTGTAGAGTACACTAAGGTCAGTGTGGAGTACACTAAGGTCAGTGTGGAGTACACTAAGGTCAGTGTGGAGTACACTAAGGTCAGTGTGGGGTACACTAAGGTTAGAGTGGAGTACACTAAGGTCAGTGTAGAGTGCACTAAGTTCAGTGTGGAGTACACTAAGGTCAGTGTGGAGTAGACTAAGGTCAGAGATGAACTGCAAGAAGGACCAGAATGGGTAACTATCCCCTCACACACACAAACACACACACACACACACACACACACAAACACACACACACACACACAAACACACACACACACACAAACACACACACACACACACACACACACACACACACACACACACACACACACTCACACACACACACACACACACACACACACACACACACACACACACACACACCACACACACACACACACACACACACACACACACACACACATACTACGTACAAAATAATGGGAGGAAAAGATAAGGTGGACAGAGACAGGATGTTTCAGAGATGGGACACAGAAACAAGGGGTCACAATTGGAAGTTGAAGCTCACGATCCTAGGATGTTGGGAATATTTTTCAGTCATAAAAGTTGTCAGGAAGTGGAATGTCAACGAGTGGGGTAGTGGGGCAGGAACCAAAATAGTTTTTGACGGGGTTTTGGTGAAGTCATGGAGCAGGGAGAAGAGAAACCCCCAGTAGCGACTGGAAGAGGCAGGGCCCAGGAGCTATAAATCGAACCGAAAACAAAACGGGTGGTACAAAAAGGTGATTACACAACTCACTCACACAACAACACACACAACCACCCACAACACCCCCACACACACACACACACACACACACACACACACACACACACCACACACACACCGACATGTCCCCGGGAAGCCCACAACCAGAAAACTGCTGAGCTAGGGGCCCCTAAAAACCCTGAGAACGCGTTCCGTTTCCTTGGTAAGGAGTCGTTGAAGCCACTGTACACTTGTACGTCGGTCCATTGGAGTATGCAGCACCAGTTTGGAACCACACTGGTCAAGCACGTAAAGAAATTGAGAAAGTAAAAAGGTTTGCAACAGGCTAGTTCAGAGCTCAGGGGAATGTCCCACGAAGAAAGGTTTGGGGAAATCAGCTGACAACCTGGAGGACAGGGGGCAGGGGAACATGATAACGACATAAAAAATTAAGGGATAGGCAGGTGTTCCCAAAATGGGGCACAGAACAAGGGACATAGTTGGGAAATTGAAGACACAGATGAATCACAGGGGTGTTGGGGAAATATTTCTTCAGCCACAGAGTAGTCGTAATGGAATGTTTGGGAACGATGTAGTGGAGGCAGGGTCCATACATGCTTTAAGCAGAGGTATGAAAAGCTCAGGTTTTCAGGGGGAGTGACTAGTGGCGACCAGTGAAAAAACGGGGGGGGAGCTTGGGCTCGACCCCTGCAACCCCAATAGGTGGTACAATAGGTGAGACAAAAGGTGAGTACAATTAGGGGGATACAGTCACAACTGAAGACAAGGAAGATTTTTTAAGTGAATTATTATTATTATTTTTATTATTATTTTTATTATTATTATTATTATATTATTATTTTTATTTTTTTATTTTTATTATTTTTTTTAATTTTTTATTATTATTTTTATTATTATTATTACCCGGAGTTTACCGGAGAGAGTTCCGGGGGTCAACGCCCCCGCGGCTGATCTGTCCAGGCCCCCTGGTGGATCAAGCTGAAAACCCGGTTGTTATGGCTGCACGCAAACCCACGTACGAGCCCCCGCCCCGGTTTATCAGGGCCGCTTTAGGTGCTTTTTTCCAGTGCACTTGAAGACTGCAGGGTCTGTTGGAAACCCCTTAGTATGCTGGAGGCAGTTGAATAGTCTCGGGGCCCCCGACACTTATTGTTGGCCCCTTTTAAAGTGCTAGTGAACCCTGCTTTTCATTTGGGAAACACGGTCTGTGGTGCATCCCCTTTTCTTTGTCAGTATGAGGTAAGGAAAAGATGGGAGCGAGTATGTGCCCCCTTTTGGAACAGGCTTTTACGTAGCGCCTCGGGCTTTTTCCTGTTGCGACTACTCTCTGTGTTTGTTTGTGAGGAAATTTTGATCCATCGACCCACTTTTCCTGTTATTTTTTTTAGCACGATTTTGTGCCTATTTCGCCCGGCCACTTGCGAGGCTTTTGCAAAATCTGTATA